GGAGAATTTCGACTTCCTGCATCTGCCATAGTGGAGAAGAATAAGAAAAGACTTTATAAAGAAAAAGAAACGGAGGACACCCGAACCTGAGCCAGTCGATCAAGTTGCCTCATTTGACAGCCCTGATGCTCGACCGTCGAAGAAAACATCGACGATGGACCTCCTTCTGGCTTCTAGCACGAATTTTGGTGCGGCTGCTAAGGAAAACGAGTAAGTCGCTCTTCCCGCTGAGGGCAGTTAAGAGTAATTGAAAGGAAAGTCGGTTGCTGACCATCCCCCACCCCCTTCGCAAAGGACATAGATGCTCCAACCCTAAAAGTGGAAGAATTCACGACTCTTACTGAAATATATAGTATTTTGGGTATGTAAGAATATCTCTTCGACAATTTCGTAATAATCCCTTGACACTATTCTTAATGTAGATGAGCCGATTGCTCTGGAGGCTCGCACTGATGGTGAGCCATTTAAGAACGTTGTTGATTCTGCCCCGACAGTCCCTGGTGCGCCTTTCAGATTGATTGCAGCACCCCCTCCTGCGGCCTACCAAACTTTATGGACATTGATCAGCCACTTCAGCAACTCTCAGCAGGAGCAATTGCAAGGTCGGTAGCTGTCCTTCGATTCAATGGAGCGTCGGATGAGGGAGATGGCTGGCCCTTCAACCAAAGTGGTTGAAGTTCCTACCAAAGCACCTGCACTGGAGTGGTTGGTTTATTGCAAGCGGATGGAGGCAGCGATTGCCACACTTTGACACAAATCAGCCAAAATTGTCAGGCTGGAGGCGGAGCTTGCATTACCTTAAGCAATGTGCATCCTGAGTTGGGCCCATCCGTGAGTCGACTGTTTTGAGTAGATTTCATCATGACGTCGATCAGATGGAGCAGACTAGGTTTGGTGGATAGTTGGTCTTCTAGAGGATGCTTCAAAAGAGGTATGCCTCGGCTGAAGCGACGGAAGATATTTTTATAAAATTTTTCCTTCGCGATCTCTAATCATGTTATTTACAATAAAATAATATTTAATTAAACGTGAAATGATATTTGGTGTGACACTTACCATTATGTGATGCCTCGACTTCTAAGTCCATCCTATAAATAGGGTATGAGGCTGCTTTTTGCCTTTTGCACTTACAGATTTTTACCTCATCTTTCGATCATCTCCTTGCTTCGTGACATGATAGCCCCCAAGTATTCTCCTACTCACTTCGGCTCTAACCCCGCCATCAAAGCGATCTTGACCGTGAGGGATGTAAAGGAGATGCAGAAACGAAATGTTTTTGATGATAACATAGTTATTTGGAGGGTTCAAGAATCAGAGCGCCCAACAGACAATGTCAGTTCAGATCTATTTTTCTATCGAGATCAAATTAGTTATAGTCTTCGACTGCCCCTATGCTCCGAGCTTCAAAGCATTTTCAACAAATATAGGATTATTACAGCACAGATCCTACCAAAATCCGTCACAGCCATCATGACTTCTGTCATTCTCTGCCACTGGGAAGCCATCCCGAGGTCGACCGATTTGTTCAGCCATTTTTACTCGTTCAAGGTAAAAAATGAGGGTGGTTTCGTCAAGTTTTCGACCGAAAAGAAACTCTAATTGCTTGAATTTGAGAACAAGATAAAAAACTAGAGGAAGCATATCGTGGTTGGTTCCTGCTTAAGCGACGAAGGAATCTTGACCAAAAGTTTGTGGTCGGCTAAAAGTGTGCGGTCGATCGAATTATAAGACGATCATTAAATGCCCCTCTTGAAGTAGTTATGAGTACGAAATGTTGTCAATGTCAGTTATGAATATGTAAGAGTCCTGAAATCGGTTACAGACATGAAAATGTGCAATAATGATTTGTGACGTCTCTATTAAGACAAGGATAAACATGTAATTTTACATTGTAAATTTATTAGATACCCGTGAAACCGATAAATAGGGGTCAGTTCTTCAATAAAGCATTATTCAATTTAGTCTTCCAAAATTAGTGCTACTATGCTCTTAATCCATCTCTTCATATCTTTCTCTGTTTCTCTCGTTCATACAACGCTTTATAACTTGGGTGTGATTCACATGACATATTTGGATTCAACGTCCTAAAAAGTGTGGTGAGTGTGGAATCATGCAATCAACAATAAGAGGAGCACACCACGAAGAAGAAGCTCATTTGGGAAATATCTTAAATATGAAACATGTGAGAGAATTTGTGCAACAATAAATTCAGGAACTCAAAGAATAAATGGTGGGTTAGAGGGTAAAGTTGGCCCCCACGCTACTCGAGAGAAGAGCAAAAGCTCCCCAAGAAGAAAACTCTTGAGAAGAACCCGAACCCCAAGACCATCGAATGACTCAACGGAGCAGAAAGAATTGAAGAATCCCAGTACCTGGATAGTGTTGGTTCTACACCAAGGGTCAGACCACGATTTAGGCAAATGGAGGTCTACTATCAGCCGAAAAATGCATTCTTCCGGCAGATCTCAAACATTGAGCCCCCGAAGAAGTTCAAAGTTCCATCTTTGGAATTCAATTAGGGTCAAAGCAATTCATCCGACCAAATAGCTTCATTTGAGTCGACCATCTGCCATTTCAAAATTTTTGACGCACTAAAATGCCAGTTATTCTACATCATGTTGACCTTAAGATGATTTGATGGACTCCTGACATAAGTTATCACCTCCTTCAGTGAATTTAAGAAGATGTTCATGACACAGTTCGCTAGCACCCATAAATTCCGTAAGAACTCATAGGCCATGTGGCACGTTAAGGGCCGAACGAGAACTATTGTTCGTATGTTTCTCGATTCTACAAAGAAAAGCTGAAAGTGTTGGATTTGGAGCCTACGGTAGCACAAGGACTAAGGTGCGAATGATTCAAATATTTTTTAGGTTTACAAAAACCCAATAACCTGGCTTAACTCTTGGAGTTAGCCAACCAACACATCACGATAGAGGAGTATGTTCACTCGCAGTACCAGAAAGTTGGGCAATTCAACTATCATTTGCAGAAGAGGGCCTCACGAGATGATGGATAGAGGTTGAAGGACAGCCTACAGCCCAAACTTGAAGATAGTCGGTCGCCTCGTAATAATAAAGAGGCAGATAAAAACTACCAAAGAGGATGGAGTCTATTGAACAACCAATCGCCAGGCGACTGAGAAGCATCAAAACACTTTTAGTTGAGGGTTTCAATAGCGGAGTTGGTGGAAGCCATACATGATAAGAAGTTCTTCAAAAAGACTACGTTGATAAGAATGAAAGCTTTTCTCTGAAACACAAATATGTTCTGTAAATACCACAGAGACTGCAACAATAACACGAAGGAGTGTAGACACCTTTCAAACCTAGTCGAAGAGTTGATTCGGGCCAAGAAACTCAAGGAGTTCATGGCCCCAGAAGCATCGACCCAAAGCCACGAGAAAGCCCCAATAGAAGAACTCTGACGAACCCGTCTAAGCCAATGTTATCCACATCGCGGGTATAGTGCCAGCAATCCCGGGAGAAGACTCAGGCGAGTCGATCATAAAAGGCTCCAAACGGTGGAACTTTGCGTTGCCACTTTCGCTCCAAAACGGAAGCCTCATCCCTCGATTATTTTTATTGAAGTGGATTTTCCCCAGAAGGGGAATCCCTACAATGATATCGTCGTGGTCACGACGATGATTAATAAATAATAAATGGGTAGTATTTTGGTTGACATTGCCAGCTCAAGCAATATACTATTTAAGTCAACTTTTGATAAGATACATCTATCGGCTAATCGACTAGTGGCACCGACCGGCCCACTTTATGGTTCTTTTAGTGAACGAAAGGAAACCCTGGGAATAATCGAGAACTTCTTAATGGTTTACTGGTTGGTTTATTGAGCATAATGGAATGTGAACATTAAAATGAATTTGTTAAAAATGAGGAAAAAAGAATTAAAAGTGATCATAATGTTAATGGGGACATCTATTGAATCCTGGGCAATCGAAAATAAATTTAGGGAATTTGGATACATACAATGAAGATTAAAAATGCACCTACTAGATGTGTAGATAAAATTAATTTCAAAGACTTAGGGATGAGAAAAATAGACTTGCTATTAATGTATAAAAGTTATTTAAAATGATTTGTCAATAATTGATTTAAAACCTCAAATAGTGCCCAATAGAAAAGAATGACAGATGAGAATTCATAAAACCAATAAAAAATAGTTGGGATAAGATGTTGGCGGCAACTATGATGACATCACAACAATGTGTGCAAGATAAATCATTTTTGATGAATCATGTAAGACAACTATTAGCTTATTAATTGTCACAATCCAAAACAAAATAAACTAGTTCTCCCCTGAAAGCAATTTCTATTATCTGAACCATAAATAATTATTGATTCAGAATGTTTCATCACTGGAGGATTTTAACAAGGGAAGTTAGATGTAAGGCTAACAAGATTTGATTAGATCGGCTACACTAGATAATTTGATCACGTTTTTGTAGGGTAAAAAAAACAACAACAACAACAACAACAACAAGCCTTTATCCCACTAAGTTGGATCGGCTACATGAATCATTTTTCTCCTTTGTGTCCTATTGAATATCAAATTTTCATTTAGTTCTAATAAATTAAGATCAATCTTTATACAACATGCTAAAGTCTTTTTAGGTCTACCTCTATCTTTTTTAGCATAAGTTGAATCTAAAGTATCTATTCTCCTAACCAAATCATGTGGTCGAAATTTAATGTGACCAAACCATCTACGATGACTCTCTCTATCTTGTCTGCCACTAGAGCTTCAACAACAAAATGCATTCTCTAATTCTTTAATTAACCAGAAAAGAGCCAATGCTAAGAAGCGCAAGCTAAAACTTTCAGCCCAATTAGATCGGAGGGGCAGTTGGAGTGCAAAGCGCCTCAATTCCAACTCACTCTATGCAATCAAATCGAAAACCCTAAATTAGGAACAGCACCTACCAACCACCAAATTACTGGAAAATTTTTAAAAAGAAGATAAAAAGGGGATGCTCAACTCACGCGACCAGGCAAACTGTTCAAGTGTTTCCGACATGATCAACTTAGATATTAGATCCAATGGCAAGAACGCAGCCGAATCGTTACTCGAACAAGCAATCAAGCAGGAAGCTGCAGAACAATCAGCAAACCAGCATTCCCTTCATGAAGCAGACAATCCGGAAGCCCTCCAATCAGCTGTCAGATCACCTGCGATAGCTTCAGTTGCGTGGCGTCAGCAGCGCGTGAGGGAGATGAAAGGGCATTGAACGAAATTTGGTAAAAATAGCGGAAAGAAGGAAGGAAGAAATCGGAAAGCAGAGCGCCGGCTTAACAGCGAAAGATTCGGGATTAGTTAATTAAGTTTTTTTATAACGTTGCCTCCAAATGCCAGGACGAAAGAAATAGGCTCCAGGATACGTCGCCCACTAACTGGGAAGGTACTCTCAAGAAACGGATACGGCGCGGAATTAGGACTCTCTTGTCCCCGCTTGACACTTGGCATGTCGGTGGGAGTAGAGTTCAGTTTTTGCGGCCTTTTTTTTCTTTTTTTCTTCCTTCAATTTGCCAATTTTAGATCAAAGTTGGAAGGTTCGCCCTACAAATTAATTCAACGTTATCGATTTCTCCAAAGTGCGAGGGAAGATATTGTTATAAATTTTAAGAAATATAAAGTAGAATGTAAATGAGTTATTGTTCAACTTAAAAGTATCTATGAATCACACCCAAAGAATATATCATATGAGAGAAATAGAGAGAAGTTATGAACAGTGAAAAATGAGTGTTTGGAGTTTTCTTTCTTATTAAAGAGTCTCCTATTTATAGGTATAGAAGTATCTTGAGAATAGGATTACCTTTAGGCTCATTTCCCATACAAAGAGATCTAGGGGCACCAAGATCATTTCCACAATACATTTAAATATGCCAACGAATGGGTTATAGGATGGTAGTGGTAATCCTCGCTCGTCGCCTCATTCTTATTCTTTCAGCACTGACGGACCAAACCACATGGAATAGTATGAAGGTCCCTTTGTCGAATTTGTTTATAGGCTGCCTCTGATTCTCTGGTTTGTTTGTCTCATTTGTCGAGGGATGAGACCTTTCCCATTCGGCTCATCTCATTCGCATCTTTCATACAACCCCCGCGATGGTCGTCTTGCCAAATAAACGAATGGATCAGCAAAGACCTGTTACAATCTCCTGGTTTGGAGTTGATTTCCTTCTTGATTGTTTAACTTAATTTGTTGATCGGGGCCTACCTCGTTTGTTGTGCACTTCCGTTTTGCATCAAAATTCTTATTGATATATATATATATATATATATATTCTTTTTTTTTTCTTTCAACAAAAACTAATGGTCGGAGTCTATGATACGAGGCCCGATCATCTCCCATGCGCTTCTAATTTGATGTCCACACCCTACACTTGAGGGGATTCGAACCCCAGACCAGAGGGGACTTACAACTGACAAGTAGATGTCTGACTAAATGATCTGAATATGCGGCGCATATATACATATATGTGTGTGTGTGTGTGTGTGTGTGTGTGTGACATAAAAATTGAACGCCTTTAAAATACAATTGTAGCCAAAGAAATTTTAAATACTTGACAAAAAGAGCCATCTATGTGCATTATTTTTTATTGATTAAATTTAGCTACAATTGTTATGGATCCTGCTATAACAATTAGCCAAGTGGCAAATAATAATAACAGTAATAATAAATCAAAGAACTGGAGATGAATATCTGCTGCTTGTAAATAGATTGTTAACTAACTTATTTCCAAATGGGAACTCATTTCAGATATTTCAGATCTTATTAAGGTCAAATTCAAATTGAATCGCGTATGATAAAACCACTTGACGATGCCCCTATCGTGAGGGCAAATTGGAAGATAAATATAAAAAATCAATTATATAAAATACTCAAATAAATAAATTGATTGAAAAAATCTTCTAATGTCACACCCCGAATCTAGAAGGTGGTGCATCCGAGATTATGAAAAGAATTTAACATGTTTTGTATTCTCAAAAGAGAAACAATATGCATGTAAAAAAAGAAAAAAATAAAAATAAAAATTATTTTTATTTCAAAAATAGGAGTCCAAATGATACAACTGAAAGAAAACGAGATAACTAAAAGAGTCAAAATGAAATAAAGAAAAAAAAAACTACCAAGCCCCAAAAAAGAAAATACAATAACTAATATGAAGCTATAAAAAAGTATCAAAAGTAAATCTAATTTTGGAAAATCTAAGTCAGTGGAGACAGTTTAGTAAGTGGTTGGGTGGAATCTTTTATATAAAATTATAAACGGTGAATTTGACAATCAAACTTAGTAAATAACAATGATTTTTTAAAACAAAAACGACAAAGAAAACAAGTAATGCAGTATGATCAATAAATATTGACAATTTATTATGTGTATAGCATAATTTTCAAAGACTATCACATGCTTAAGACAATGAATAAGAATGACTTTGACACATGCACTTTTATACAGATATGTACATACTTCAATATCAGGTCTTTTTTGTATAGATATGACTCATTAATTGTTTAACAATATCTGATATGACTCATTAATCATTTAACAATATTTGATATGACTCATTAATCATTTAACACTATCGTCCCCACATCAATTCCTTCAGCACCTTCTCTGGCCAACCAATATGCGTGCAAGTTTCCTTCCCTGTATATAAAACTCAAAGAAATATTAAGATTATATTTATCAATGTAATTTCTCTTATATTAAGATAAATAACCAGGTCCAAGGTGGCACTTTTTTTTTTCAACAGGAGCTCCAAAAGTATAGAAGAATTTGTTTTAATGTGTAGGAAAGATCAATTAGAAGTAATAGCAATGTTCAAAGCTAGCATGACAGCCGTGCATTCTACTTCAATGGGGGAAACACCACAACAAGGAGAAGAGAAAAAATTAAAACATTTCCCATAGAAGTTTCTAAAAAAGCCAGCCTCCCGCGCCTCCCTCCCCTCCTCCTCCTCCTCCTCCTCCTCCTCCAGCAACTACCATCAGTATTAATCTTCACCCACCTAGGAAGAGGTGGGCACCATTTAACTAAAATAGGTAAAATAGTAGCTTTACTCAAAGTAGACCTAGCAGACTGAATGGAGAGAACACCAACAATTCCATCATTAGTAACTCTTAGAAACATAAGCCACAATATATAAAATGATAGAGTTAATAGCTATAGGAGCACCCTTATGTTTACAATAATTTTGGGACATCCATTTAAACCACATAACCACATAGAGAAAAATCTCCCTTAAACTCTTCCCTAAATCTACTGACATCCAGGCGTCAAAACATGCATTCAGTTCCCTTCAAGATGAGGGTTTTACTGTTCCAAAATGATGCTCAAGAGCTTTCCATATATGTATAGAATATGAGCAATGAAAGAAAAGATGGTTAGCTATTTCTTCCTCCCCATTACATAATGGACACTGAGAATTCAATCTTAGCCCATTCAGTTTTAAAATATCATCATAAGGTAAAATATTGTGCAAATGTCTCTAAATGAAGAAGGACATGGCAGGTGATAGTGCTCTACACCATAATTTTGATCTCCACTATAATTAATTAAAGTGATGAAGCTCTTAATAAAGATACCTAGAAACAGAAACATTCCCAACATCTTCAGCAATAGATCAATTTTTTTTTATGTGTCTATTGGAATTTTGGAGATGAGGACGGCCTTGTTGCCTAAAAATCTTGTAACTTAAGGAAATTCCAGTTTCCTTCTACCCAAGAAATCAGAAACCAGCAAATTTTAATTATCCATATTTCTCATATTTCCCAGCTCCTCCTCAGACCACTGATCATGCCAAAAGGAAACTTTCCCCACTCCAATATCCCAATAGACAAAGTTTTTAGGAGTTAATATAGCATTAAGTAGAAATTTCCAAAGCTTAGAGGCCCCATCTCTCCACTCCACCAAAGATGGGTGGGAGACAATGATACACCTAAAATATATAGTCTTTTTATATACATTTTTATACCTATTTTTGAGATATTGTGCTTTAATGAAAGGTATTTGTGGGTTTTTCTTTCATGTACAATCAAATGGATAAAAAATGATAGAATGAGTGAAAAAGGATCAAATTTGGAGCAAAAATAAAGAAGGTGCAAAAAATTAACTAAGGTGCCTAAGTGCCCAAGATCAGCGCTTACGCGCCAGTTATTCAGAGAGAACCATGCCTAAGCACCAGGTACCCCCGTGCTTAAGCATCAAAAGTAGTTATTTGATGATTCATTGAATTTGGACTAATTTTTGAAGAGTTTGAAGCAACCCTTGCTAAAAACGTGGGAAATAATTAATGGACATGAAAATTCATCCAATTGGCTTTTGAAAGGAGGCAACTTCTAGAAGATTCATTGAATGGAGACACATTTTGAAGAGACACCAAGAAACCTCTTGGATTTTTATAAAAGAAGATTTGAATCATCAAAGGAAGAGGCCAATCCACATCCAACAACCATCATTCATCTAAGTAACCACTGCCGACCACCTTTTATTTTATTTTGAGTTTTAGTTTATATTGTGAGTTTATTAGTTTATATTGTGAGTGAAGGAAGAGAATTCAAAAGAACTTAAAGACATTTGGTGGAGAGAAATTTGAGATAAGTTTTTATCTTTGTGGCTACACTTGGTTTTAATTCAGATTTCTTGTTTATGTGCATGATTTCTAATTTAAAGTTCAATTGTGGTTGTGTTTTCTCAATAGATTATGAGTAATTTTCTTTATCTTTTTCCTTAAAATGATAAGTTATTGAGTGTTAAAAGGGAGTTGTGTGAAGTAAGAGACTTTAATGTTAGAAGAAGTTGTGATGATTTTAAACCTTATACTTCATTTACTTCTTGATTTGACCAATTAAGATGTGAATACCTATTGTAAGAACATGTAAGATCCAAGATGGTATTGTCTCAATCAACAAATGATAGGAATCACATTTGATTTCATGGATGAGAATGTAGTTCATGGGGTTGAGTGCAAATAAATAGGGAAATAAACTTGAAGGGTATAGAATTAAAGAACTTTAGAGTGACAGAGTAAAACCCTAAATTTGATTTATAGTTTTAGGTTTTGATATGAGATGTTAGCCCCCAGGTGGAGGGAGAAGAGGGGACTCAAAAGCTAGAGCTAGTATCTTCCCTACCTAATCGATCTTTACAACTATTCAAACTATAGATTAGCCAATGTTCTTTGTAGCATCTCTAGTAAGGATAAAGAATATTATTGCTTATATTTGAAACAACACAATTAGATTACCTCATAGTTTACCTCCACAACAGAATTTCTATACTTGTTACAGATTCATGATAAGAAAAAAGATATTTTATTAATATTGTCTTCATCTGATAAGTACTTAGTTAAATTAATTAGTTGCTTACTTTATTTTAAATTATC